CAGGGTCTAGGATCTAGAAGCAGGATGTAGAATCTAGAAGCAGGATGTAGAAGCAGGATGTAGAATCTAGAAGCAGGATCTAGAAGCAGGATGTAAGTGTTTATTTATCAGTTCAGCTCCAATCTCTCCCACGTCATTGAGAAAGAATTCCCTCTGATCACAGCCGGTCGTCGGTGGATGAGCTCTGAGATTGAACTACCGGATGGTTAATCATGATGTTTATGAATTTGCAGATGAGTCACCGCGGGGAGCGTCCGTTCCCCTGTCCTCACTGTGAGAAGACCTACGGACTGAAGAGGGACCTGAAGGAGCACATGGTTCTGCACACCGGGGAAAAACCTTATACCTGTGAGCACTGTGGCAAAGCATTTGGACGCCGCCCCTCGCTACGCATCCACCGCATGCTTCACTGCAGCAGGATGACCTACACGCAGCATCCGAAGGTACAGACGTGTTTCACTCTGCACATCTGCAGTGACATTTTCAAATCGCTGCTGCTTTACCTGGAAGTCGGGGAGAGCTGGTACCTCCACCACTTAGAGCCTCCTCATGAAGCCACGTTTAAATCTGCTTCATCCAGATTTTTATTTGGATTTGCATCAAATTTCACACCCTCACAAATATCAGTTCTCTAAACATGTCGGATTTCTGTCATCGAGGTCTGTTCATTGTCACGATGACAAATGTGTTCAACAGTTTTAGACCAACAAACACAAACTCCGTGGAGATAAGACGAAGGAGTATTTCTCCTGAAATCTAAATTTACGAGGAGGTTTTTAAATTTGCTGCTGCTGTCTCACCCTCTTTTAAACAAAACGTTTCTATCTGCTCAGCTGAACTGGGTCATAATTCATTCATTTAACTTTGTGTGTTGGTCTCATTGTTTGTCCCCAAACAGCAGTTTGAAGTTGAAGTATTTAGAAAAAGGGTAAAGTTGAGTTTGGATTTCTCTCCAAGGTGCAGTGTACACTCTGCCCCAAGCTGCTGGCAAACTTCGGCTCTCTGAGGAACCACATGAAGCTCCACACAGGAGAAAGACCTCACACCTGTCAGCACTGTGGGAAGAGCTTCAGTCAGAAAGGTAAATGTCTGAGGCTCCGGTGCTGATTCAGGTTGAACACACCTCCTGACTGCTGCTGTTAAACAGTGCAGCCACTTTCACCGAGGATGAAAGTCGACAAACATGAAGAAGAACCTGCGGCAGCTTCAGTCGTCATAAAAACTCAAGAGGTTTTAGTTTGTCCAGTCTGGACTAATGTAAAAAACATGGCTGCCTCCGTAGAGAGGGCCCCCTCCATGTACATATAAAGTATTTCAATATAAAGT